ACTTTGTAATACGATGACACATTCGAAGACACTATGAAAAACATAATAACATTAATTTTTTGTTTATATTGAAAATAATAAAGAAAAGCAATCATCAACGACTACTTCCCCTCTTCTTCATCTCTACGAAATACAACTTACCTTATTTAGATTCTCAGTTGTTTCGGCAAAATTTTTCTTATTTAAATGTTTGACCAAATTACCAATCTGCGTCAGCGTCAATTTCAGATGGTCTAGGTTCATAGCTCTTCCATTCAAGGTGGAACGGCGTTACAGCAGCAGCACGACGGGTCAGTCACTTTGTTGTGGGCAGGATCTTTTGTTTGTGGGCAAATTTTTTTCGATAGAAACCTAAAAAAATCATAGATTTTTTTTAAGTTTCACGAAAAAAATTTCACTGACAAGAGATCAGAGACGACACAACAAAAATAAACGACTCAGCGGCGACAGCGCACGAACCGATACAAGGTAAAAAATAAAAAAAAAAAAATAACTAATCGATCGAGAGAGAGAGAATGAAAACTTAAAAAACACACAATCGAGGAAAACACGCGGTTGGGGCGGCGGTGGGGTTTTGGTGTTTTTTGTTGTTGTATTATTTGTTGCTGGTCTGACGACGACGGTGATGATGATCGTGTTGAAGAAGAAGCAGCCAAGAGAATACTACTCACAATAACACAACGTCAAATTGAATTAAGAATGAAAGTGACGTCGTTGTGGTTCTTTCTTTCTTTTTGTATGTCCGTCTGTCCCGTAGAACTGATAAAACGCAACACAATTTGTTTGTTGGTGGTGTTGTTGTTGTTGCGAGTTTTCCTGGGAATGTATGGAAGAAACACGTTGACTGTTCAGAAGCGGGCGGCTATGTTCGGATCAATGCAGCAGTTAATTTTGTTAGTTAACAGTTTTTTGGGGAACTTTGTTGTTGTTGTTCCTTCTCCTTTGTTGTATAATTGTGAAGAGCTTTTGATTGCTATTGACGTTGCTGTTGTTATTTTTGATTTGACACAACACCTCTTTTCCCTTTCAGAGACAGAGAGGGTAGACAGCCTGGCAGATTTGACAGACGGGATGGATGCAATTTGTTTTTTTTCGGAAAATTTGTTTTGTTGTTTCTGTGGTCACCACCCGAACTGCTGGGACATGTGTGTGTCCGTATATGTGGTATGTAGGCACCAATTAGAAAGACGCAGAATGAATGACCCCCTTTTTTGACGTTTCGCTCTCTCTCACGTTGGGTGTTTTGCGGTCACTGCTGCTGTTGTTGTTATTCAAGGGGGAGCATCAATTTTTAATTAATAAAAAAAAAAAATAGAAAACAAAAAAGTGTGGCAACTTGGAATTCAGTCGGTGAGGAACTGACACACAACACCATTCATTCATTAATGTATTTTTGCCCAAATTGGATTTCCTTAGCGAATTTCACCGGGATCTGGCCCCCTATTGTAGGGGCCAATGTGGAAATCTTGTTTTCGATTGTGGACACACAAAACACAACTCGAACACTGCCAGGAGGATCGTTGCTGCCACAGAAAATGCATATGAATTGCCTTGGTGCCACCAACCACCAGTGTTTTGTTTTTCTCCTTGGAGCCTTCTTTCGGTTTCTTGGCCACTCTTGTCGTAATGGCCTGTGTTTGCCTTGTTGGCCTGTGTTTAATAAAAGTGGCGGATCGTTTCGACTCTTGCCTAGAGAAATTTCATTACATTCGCATTTTATCACGTATCAGCAACCGCACCGTATTGTCTTTATTTGTTTCACTTCTTTCAATAGTATTATTACGTTAGCTAAAGCCGCGCCGTTGGCCCCTCTTCATTCACTCACTAGATCCAACGACGAACGAAGATGGTTATGGGGTCTTTGTTGTATGTTGGCGCTGTCAACGTTGTCTTTTTTATTTTTTGTTGGGGTTTCTTTTTCTGGTCGATTTTCTATCACAAAATATTTTTACGTATCCACTTCACTTACGAAATATCTTTGCCTCTTCTTCTTCCTCTTGCAGTGGTTTTTCTTTGTTTTGTCCACAGTATTTTGCAAAAAAATATATCCGTTCTGGATTGAAAATTGCTCGTTTATTTTTTCTTTTCCAATAGTATGGAAATTGGATCGCGTAGTTTTTTGCTTTTTTTTTAGATTGTAAAAAAATAATAATAAATTTTCTAATTCGTATTGTTGATTGTTCGTCTCGTTATTGTCTTTTTGTAGGGTGCTATAAGTCGCCTTTGTACTTATCGTACTGTGGTAGGCAAACTTGAGGATAGAAATCGAGTTATCGATTGTTGTTGACTGGGCCTTTTTTGAGCGATTCGATAAATATAGCTGAGTTTGTTTTGTAAAGAAATAAAGAGAAATCTTGCTGATCTAATAAATGATCTGTTCCCGTACTGCAAGAAACTACTGGATTTCACTATTTTCTTCGATAGCATAAGGAAAAATTCGTTATCGTAGTAAAAAGTAGTAGTAAATTCTTGCAGTACGGGAACAGACCAAAAAAATTAATGAACCGAGCTTACAAATGTAATCGTCGTTTATGTTATCAGTACGCTTTTATTATATGGCAAATAAATGTCAATTTACGTAAAATATCCACAGGATTTATAAAAATAAATTTCTTGACGTATACTCTGGCCCAAGATCTATTAATAAGGTCACCAAGATAGCAATCGAAATCGGAAAACAGCTGTTTTTTCTCAAGTCTAATGTCAAAAATTTCGACTTTGTTTACGTTTTCATAATGGAAGTCAATTCACAATAATGCATTTTGACAACAAACTTGAGAGGTATCGATAATCAGCTGGTCTCCCTTGGTGACCTTATTTATAGGCCATGCTCTGGCCCAATCAAGATCTATTAATAAGGTAACCCACATGGCCTATAAATAAGTTCACCAAGGGAGACCAGCTGATTATCGATACCTCTCAAGTTTGCTGTCAAAATGCATTATTGTGAATTGACTTCCATTATGAAAACGTAAACAAAGTCGAAATTTTTGACATTAGACTTGAGAAAAAACAGCTGTTTTCCGATTTCGATTGCTATCTTGGTGACCTTATTAATAGATCTTGGTAACCCAGGTAGCAATCGAAATCGGAAAACAGCTGTTTTTTCTAAAATCTAATGTCAATAATTTCGACTTTGTTTACGTTTTCATAATGGAAGTCAATTCACAATAAAGTATTTTGACAGCAAACTTGGCGCAGATATACAACTGGTCTCCCTGGGTGACCTTTTTTATTGGCCATGTGCCCAATTATGAAGTCGAACGATAAGACCAGACCAATGTTTTCATCAATATATAAAAAAATATTCGATAACCTATTTGTTTGAAGAAAAACTTTTACAATTGTAAGAAGAAATGTATGATATCCCCAAGATCTATTAAAAAGGACACCAAGATAGCAATCGAAATCAGAAAACAGCTATTTATTCTCAAGTCTAATGTCAAAAATTTCGACTTTGTTTACGTTTTCATAATAGAAGTCAATTCACAATAATCCATTTTGACAGCAAACTTGAGAGGTATCGATTTTCAGCTGGTCTCCCTGGGTGACCTTATTTATAGGCCATGGATTTTGAAAAGAAAACCCGACATTCCCTTCATTCTTCGCGTTTTTGGTAAAATGTTAAAAATAATGTCAAATGAACAGAACGACTTGTTGCATTTGTTTTCATTTATTCCGACATTATTGCCCATAAGGTAGGTGTGTATTTTCTCCTTTCTGACAAAAGAATTTTCCACTAAAATAAATCGAAAGAATTTTGCAGTCTTAAGGAGATTTAAGCTGGGCACGGGAACAAATATTCATGACTTGTTCCCGTACATTAAAATACTTTTAAACTTATTCAAATTCATAAAAGCAGTTCGTCTTGAGACGGCTCAGAAGAAAGACACATTTTAAAGAGATAATAACGTCTACGGACATAAAAAATTACAAAAAGACGCTGTGTTAAGCTTTCGCTTAACTTGCCACGTGTTTTATCTACCGAACCTGGTGACCTTATTAATAGGTTTTGAATTTCACTAATTAACGAAAATATTCGATAAGTTAACGACTAAAATAATGTTGTTGTAAAGCTCTACAAATTTTACCAAAATGTTTTATTTAAACATGAAAAATAGTTTTTTTATCGATATTCTTAATATAAATCGCATGATTGCTTTACAAAAATTGGAGGCCAATTTTTGAAATCAATATGAAATGTAAATAAATTTTATTGACAACTTAAATTAATTATGAAGTAAAACTTAAGATTATATAACACTTAGTATTAAATTTGGAGGAATTATTGAACCTTTGATTCTTTCGGGAGTTTAGAAACTGCAAATAAACAAAAAAAAAAAAAAAATTATTAATTCTGGTTATAATTATAATATAGTAATAATTGACAACTATTACCTGAAGCTTTTGATTTGTTTCTCCTTTGTAATGCATCGAAAAATTGTGCAAACGGATATTCTATTAAGAGGCAAGCAAAAAATGCTACGATCAGGGAAAATACAATGGTAATCATGCCTTGGGAATTCTATAATGAAAAATTAAAGAAGAAAATCAGTAGGGAAATTCTGTTACAATTTGTATATTCCCGTACTGCAAGAATCTACGAATTTTTTACTATATTTTCGATATCATAAAGGAAAATATGATATCGTGGTAAAAAGTTGTAGATTCTTGCATTACGGGAACAGACTAAATTTAAAGACAAAAATACTGATATGTCTTGTTAAATCACATTTACACAACTTTGGTTTTTTATTGATGAATAGATTTTCCAACAATTCATCAAATTAAGATTAAACAATGCGAACGTGTTTTGTTATAAATGAATGAAAACAAATCGTAATATCACGTTTACACTACTTAATCCACTCGATCACAAATGTCAATCCCACAACATATTCGCCACCTTAATCATTTTCACAAATCCATTGGATTATATTTCACATATAAGCAATGGAATTGACATTCGGGATCAAATCTAAACGTGTTTTAATACTTACAAAATACCATGTATTCATGTAGTAGGGCTCCCTCTGATACCCATTTAACAATTGCAGAATCATAACATGCCATAAATACATTTGAAACGAAAGGCGGGCCAAGACCCTAAATATGGGTAGGCGGCAAAAATCATAGGCCATCACTGGACAGAATAAATGGAAACAAATTAAAAATTAAAACCATAAAATAATGTTCAGATGTCGGATAACTTACTTCCTCCCTTGCACGCCATGCCCAACAGAGGAAATCCACACACGAATATTATCCATAGATTACGATATAGGCCACTGTACAGTGCCGTCCATATAGAGGGTTTTTGAAATATAGCCACGGAACCCACATAACAAATACCAGCAGCTATTGCCAATGCGGACCAAGCACCAACTTCATATTTTAAATTGCCACGTACTTGACGTCGGATTTCTTCTTTGCGTAATTTACGCAGATACAGATCTCCACACCATATCCCAAAGAGATAACCACCCAAATTTGTAAACGAGGGTGTATATAAATAATAGAAGACATCGGCATCTATGAAAAATTGATAACGATAACTTCTGCAAGGGAAGGGAAACAGAATAAAAGAAAATTAATTGCATTTCTTTGTTGTGTATTTAATGGACTTACTCTGGTTTTATAATAAATGCCGATTCTAATTTAAAAATATAGCCAATAATTGTTGGTATTGCCACAGTTAAAATTGCCAAGGTATAGAGAACACGTTTCTTATATTGCGGGTATCTGAAAAATAAAAGAAAAACTTTTTACTTGAGAAATTTGGCCAAGTAAAAATGGTAACCTATGAAATTCCTATGTAATTGAATGATTTTCGTAGTCTAAACATGCTTTAATTAATTATGAACACATTTAAATTAGAAAAAATCAGCTGATTTAAACATATGATTATGAAACTATTTATCGATAAAGATATATAAATAAGATCACAAAGCAAGCGAAAGAAAAATGTTTTTTTTCTCATGTCTAACTAAAAAAAATTGGACGTTTTCATAATGGAAGTCAATTCACAATAATGCATTTTGACAGCAAACTTGAGAGGTATTGATTATCAGCTGGTCTCCCTGGGTGACCTTATTTATAGCCATGATCGCAAAGCAAGCGGAAGTAAAATGTTTTTTTCAAGATCTATTAATAAGGTCACCAAGATAGCAATCGAAATCGAAAAACAGCTGTTTTTCCTCAAGTCTAATGTCAAAAATTTCTACTTTGTTTACGTTTTCATAATGGAAGTCAATTGACAATAATGGATTTTGACAGCAAACTTGAGAGGTATCGATAATCAGCTGGTCTCCCTTGGTGACCTTATTTATAGGCCATGGTTTTTTTCTTATTTCTATTAAAAAAAATGGACGATTTTATAATGGAAGTCAATTCACAATAATGGATTTTGATAGCAAACCTGAAAAGAAGTTTATCTCTTTGGAAACCCCAAGATCTATTAATAAGGTCACACAGGAAGCAATCGAAATAGGAAAACAGCTGTTCTTTCTCAAGAACCTTATTATTAGGCCTTGTTTATGAATTATATACCATCCAACAAGGATTATTAATAAGGTCATCCAGAGAGACCACCTGGATATCATTTACTTCTCAAGTTTGCTGTCAAAATCCATTATTGTGAATTGACTTCAATTATGAAAACGTTAACAAAGTCCAAATTTTTGACATACGATAAAAAACCAGTTAACTTTCCCCTGCTGGGTGACCTTATTAATAGATCTTGCCAGGGTCTATAAATAGGGTTACACAGTTACTAATCGAAATCGCAAAAAAGATGTTAAAAATGGGTCGGTAGGACGTTTTTACAACGATATTAAGAATTTTAAAGTTCGTTTGTAATTTCTGATACTTACTTTGAAATAAATATTAATACCAATGTATAGAAGGCGAATAATTGAAAATCGGCCGCAAGATACCAAGTATGAGAGCTAACCTAAAAAATAAGAAGAGAATTTAAATGTTTAAAACTTTTTTTATTTTAATAAAAACATTATCCTTGTACTTACTGTATTCTTTTGCGAGAAATTATTAATCATAAAAACATTTTTCCACCAACTTTCACGACTAAAAATGCGACTTGGTTCGGTGACATGACGCCAAAAGGGGCCATCATTTAATTTGCCAAACACAGTGGCATTTATCCAAACCACCAGGGCCACAGAGGGAAGGAATCTAAAAATAAGAAAACGTAAATTCAAATTATTTTTATTTTTCAAAATATATATGTAGATATCTAACCGCACCTCATCAACCGACTTATAACAATAAACAGATATGTCTGAATACATTTCTTCCAACTGGTACGCGGGGTAATATATCCCCCTTCTGTGAATTTCACATAGAGCAGTAAACCACTCATTACCATAAATATTTCAATAATTGTTGAGGAGTTTAATATCAGTAGACCCCGCGTTGTTTCACCAAAACTCTCAAAATATTCGGGATTACGAATATGTTGGAATTGCAAATAGAAGGTATGACCGTGCAACACCATTAAAGTGCATACCGAACGAAATCCGTCCAAGTAAGAGAAATCATTGCCAACTTCACCACGATATGGTTGAATGAGACGATAGTAGTTACGGCATATTGAGAAGGAGGTTAATAGGCGGGGTACTGTGGGAACAGGAAAAAAAATTATAAAAAATTAGGAACTTCATTCAATAAAACAAATTTAATATTTTATTTATAAAATTACTTACATGGTTGATCAAGATTATTTTTATAAAATTCATTTGTTTGATTTTCTTCCGTTTGACTAGCCCTTAGAACATAATCATATATGCTGGACATGATCACCAGCAGCAGCACAATTTTTAGGAATTTGTATAAAATTATTTCAGCAGGGTCTAAAAGGAAATAATTAATAAAAAATATTATTTATATAAATATATTATTGTGTATATGTATGTATAAAACATAATATAACATTTTAAGTAAATACATAAAGTATACCGTGTCATTACCTTTCTCCGAAGTGTTTTTTTCTGCTGGCCTCTCACAATATTCCACAAAAGTATTCAAATGCAGGCCATATTTCCCCTCAAATTCCGCATTTAAACAACTTTGTATTGCCGCGCCATATTTGCTGCGCATTTCCAGATCCAATGGCCGTTTGTGAACATCCTCAATAAATTGGGTTATCTGCAGAAGGACAAAAAACAAACAAAAATTAGAAAGCATTATGAAATATATTCAATAACGTACCTCCTTATTTAATTCCGTATCGAGGGTGTAGTTGCTATTACTATCTTCCCAGGACTCCAAAAAGCCTCTGCATTTTTCCAAACACACTCCAAAGTAGAGACGATCATGATGATAATGAAATATATTCTCTTTGTGATTGGCAATTTTATGCCATAAATCGGAAGAGTTGTCAGGTTGAATCTCAGCATAAATCATACAATAGGTAGGGGGGGAGGAGTGGTGATGAGCATTATCATTATCCATGCACAGATCGTAGTTGTCGAAGGAATACAATGGTGGCAATTCATGGCGGGAATCTAGAATGGAGTAAATAATCAATAATAAATTTTCGGCTTATAGAAGCCCAGGAAAAAATATTTTTAATAAATTTTCGGCTTAAAGGAGCCCAGGAAAAATATTTTTTAATAAATTTTCGGCCTATAGGAGCCCAGGAAAATTCTTCTTTAATAAATTTTCGGCGTATAGGAGCCCAGGAAAAATCTTCTTTAATAAATTTTCGGCGTATAGGAGCCCAGGAAAAATCTTCTTTAATAAATTTTCGGCGTATAGGAGCCCAGGAAAAATCTTCTTTAATAAATTTTCGGCGTATAGGAGCCCAGGAAAAATCTTCTTTAATAAATTTTCGGCGTATAGGAGCCCTTGAGAACTATTCTTTAAAAAATCCACGCCTTATAGGTCCTTGAATAAATATTCTTTAAAAAATCCACGCCTATGGAGGTCCTTGAAAAAATATTCTTTAAAAAATCCACGCCTTATAGGAGCCCTTGAGAACTATTCTTTAAAAAATCCACGCCTTATAGGAGCCCTTGAGAACTATTCTTTAAAAAATCCACGCCTTATAGGAGCCCTTGAGAACTATTCTTTAAAAAATCCACGCCTTATAGGAGCCCTTGAGAACTATTCTTTAAAAAATACACGCCTTATGGAGGTCCTTGAAAAAATATTCTTTAAAAAATACACGCCTTATGGAGGTCCTTGAAAAAATATTCTTTAAAAAATCCACGCCTTATGGAGGTCCTTGAATAAATATTCTTTAAAAAATCCACGCCTATGGAGGTCCTTGAAAACATATTCTTTAAAAAATCCACGCCTTATGGAGGTCCTTGAAAAATATTCTTTAAAAAATCCATGCCTTTAAAAAATCCACGCCTTATAGGAGCCCTTGAGAACTATTCTTTAAAAAATCCACGCCTTATAGGAGCCCTTGAGAACTATTCTTTAAAAAATACACGCCTTATGGAGGTCCTTGAAAAAATATTCTTTAAAAAATCCACGCCTATGGAGGTCCTTGAAAAAATATTCTTTAAAAAATCCACGCCTTATGGAGGTCCTTGAAAAATATTCTTTAAAAAATCCATGCCTTATGGAGGTCCTTGAAAAAATATTCTTTAAAAAATCCATGCCTTATGGAGGTCCTTGAATAAATATTCTTTAAAAAATCCACGCCTTATGGAGGTCCTTGAAAAAATATTCTTTAAAAAATCCACGGCTTATGGAGGTCCTTGAAAAAATATTCTTTAAAGAATCCACGCCTTATGGAGGTCCTTGAAAAAATATTCTTTAAAAAATCCACGCCTTATGGAGGTCCTTCAAAAAATATTCTTTAAAAAATCCACGCCTTATGGAGGTCATTGAAAAAAATATACTTTAAAAAATCCACGCCTTATGGAGGTCCTTGAAAAAATATTCTTTAAAAATTCCACGCCTTTTGGAGGTTCTTGAAAAAAATATTCTTAAAAAATCCACGCTTCTTATGAGCCTTGAAAAAATATTCTTTAAAACAATCTAGGACTTTTTTACACAAACACACTAACACTTCATTTCAGCACCAACATATCCTTGAATACTTAAAAATGCCACCAAAACTATCCAACATTTCAAAGCCGTTGCCAGACTCATGTTTTTCTGCTGAAGGTTTCCTCTGGTATCTGATGCGGAACTCTATCCAACTGACTCATTTGAATTATAAAATATAACTGATTGTAATCGGGAGATACAATTCATAATAAAACATTATTATTAGTAAATGGAATCGATCGAATCGAATTAACGCACTACAGCGCAGGCTGTGCATATGTAGTGGTGATTATAAAACTTAGTCGTTTTATTCTGGACCTAGAGGATTAATATTAGTGTAAGTGTTTGATTAGTTGCTGGCTGAGATGCTGATGTGGTCATAAAGATTGACGTCAGCCACCTATGCCATTAGAAAAGTCTGGAAATGTGTTATGATTTGTGATCCGTCTTAAAACTGGAAATAGTTAATAATTAACCTGTCTCTGACAGTAACATCGGCAATGTTGTAATATAAGAAAAAAAACCAAACTAAATTATAAAAGTGGAAAATTTTTTAGAAACACAAAGTTTGAAGTGCAGGTGAATTAAAAATTACGTCTATTAGACAAGCCGGACAAAGTTTGAAGGCTAGGGTTACACAATCTAATAGAGTAATGAATTTGTTAGCGTTTCGATTTTTTTAAACATATTTTTAAAGATCCGTAAGAGGCATAGATTTTTTAAAGAATATTTTTTCAAGGCTCTTATGGATTTTTTAAAGCATCCTGTAAGGCATAGATTTTTTAAAAAATATTTTTGGATTTTTTAAAGAATATTTTTTCAAAAGGCGTGGATTTTTTAAAGAATTTTTTTTTCATGGACCTCCATAAGGCGTGGATTTTTTAAAGAATTTTTTTTTCAAGAACCTCTATAAGGCGTGTATTCTTTAAAGAAAATTTTTTTCAAGGACCTCCACAAGGCGTTGATTATTTAAAGAGATTTTTTAAAGACCTCCAAAGGGCGTGGATTTTTCAATGAAAATTTTTTCAAGGCTCAACATAAGGCGTGGATTTCTTAAAGGATATTTATTTCAAAGACCTCCATAAGGCGTGGATTTTATAAAGAACATTTTTTTCAAGCACCTCCATAAGGCGTGGATTTTTTAAAGGATATTTTTTTCAAGTATCTCCATAAGGCGTGGATTTTTTAAAGAACATTTTTTTTCAAGGTCCTCCATACGGCGTGGATTTTTTAAAGAACATTTTTTTTCAAGGACCTCCATAAGGCGTGGATTTTTTAAAGAATATTTTTTTCAAGGACCTACATAAGGCGTGGATTTTTTAAAGATCAATTTTTTCAAGGACATCCATAAGGCGTGGATTTTTTAACGAACAATTTTTTCAAGAACCTCTATAGGGCGTAGATTCTTCAATGAATGGATTTTTTAAAGAACAATTTTTTCAAGGACATCCATAAGGCGTGGATTTTTTAAAGAACAATTTATTCAAGAACCTCTATTCTTCAATGAATGGATTTTTTAAAGAACAATTTTTCAAGAACCTCTATAGGGCGTAGATTCTTCAATGAATGGATTTATTACAGAACAAATTTTTTAAGGACCTCCATAAAGCGTGGATTTTTTAAAGAACAATTTTTTGAAGAACCTCTATAGAGCGTGGGTTCTTCCATGAATGGATTTTTTAAAGAACAACGTTTTTAAGTTTAAGCCATAAGGCTTAGATTTTTTAAAGATTTTTTTTCAAAAACTATTTTTTCAAGGCGTAGATTTTTTAAATAACATTTTTTTCAATAAAAAAAATTTTCAAGGACCTCCATAAGGCCTGGATTTTTTAAAGATTTTTTTTTCAAAAAACATCATTTCAAGGACCTCCATAAGGCCTGAATTTTTTAAAGATTTTTTTTTTCAAAAAACATTTTTTCAAGGACTTTCATATGGCGTGGATTTTTTAAAGAATTTTTTTTAATAATTTTTGAAGGACCTCCATAGGTCGTGGATTTTTTAAAGGACCTCCATAAGGAGTGGATTTTTTAAAGAATTTTTTTAAAATAATTTTTGAAGGACCTCCATAGGGCATGGATTCTTCTATGAATGGATTTTTAAAGAACAAAGTTTTTAAGTTTAAGCCATAAGGCTTAGATTTTTTAAAGAATTTTTTTTCAAAAAAAAAATTTTTCAAGGCGTAAGTTTTTTAAATAACATTTTTTCAATAAAAAATTTTTCAAGGACCTCCATAAGGCCTGAATTTTTTAAAGAATTTAAAAAAAAAAACATTTTTTAAAGACC